CAGAACCCAGACAGTAGCTGATAAAGTATTTGGGTGGGAGAGGGGTGGCAGCTCTTACCCAGTTTAGTGTCCCCTGCCGCAGTATCATAAACACTCACATTCCGTTGAGAAGTGCATTAAATAGCTTTTCTTTGCATGTTTCCAAGGCTCACCACTGGAATCTATCATGCCTAAGTTCTCTTTTTATATATAATTTATTTCTTATTTATATCTTTGACTTCATTGTATATGTCACATAAAATTGCTAGTCACCCATGAACCATAGTCCCTTGTGTTCTTTTCTCCCCTTCTCTGATCCCTTTTTCTTCCCCTCCCTCACAGAAGGTCTCTAAAAAAGAGACATGGTTGCCTTCTAATTTTGTTTTATTATTATTATTATTGATTATTATTTCCCCAATCCCTTATTTAGTTCTCCTATATTCCTCCTATAAGTGAAACCATTCAAATTCCCAAAAATAGACGATTGGATCAAGAAGATGTGGTATATATCCATAATGGAATACTGTTCAGCAATCAAAAAGATAAACTCATGCCATTCACAGCAACATAGACAGAGCTTGAATGGATCATGCTCAGTGATATAAGTCAGAAGGAAAAAAGAAAATCACTCAGTTATTTTGAGAAGTTCTGGTAAGCAGAGGCATCTCCAAGTGATTTGTTTTACAAATACAATGTTCTATCCTTAAGTTCTTTTATATTCTTGTACCAGTCCTCATCCCATTTCCCTTCTGAAACCATGTGCTACTATGTGGATTAGCCTTCAGCCTCAACCATTGCAACATACAGCTTTCCAAATTCATCAGGCCCATAAAAGTACTTAAATTACTATAAGGAAGCATAGAGATTTGCAGCGTCACATAAAAAGTTTCCCAAATCCAAAGCAGTGTTTGTCAGAAAATTTGAACCTTGCTAAACCTACAACATTAAACTAACTTACCGCTCTTTGTGGACAGTTGCAGTGACCAGTGCTCTGTAAGAACTGAGAAGCTAAGAGGAAGCCCACCTTTCGTTTAATCACTGATTTATTCAACCTGTCAACCAACTGAATTTAGTACCTGTTCTTCAAAACAAAGCAATTTTTCAATCCTGGCAATACTATATGTTATCACTGGGACTATAGTAAAAGCATTGTTTGAAATCGATAAATACAATCCAATCGTACACTGTAAATGGATGCACTCATTATATTGGAGTTTATCATATCAAAACATGTTTTTAAAAACTCAAAACTTCAGTTTGAATATATAGGATCTTTTGCATGATTGCTGAAGGCAATGTATTTCACTCTAATTAATGTGCTGGTTACATGGTTATGTAATTTGTCCAAGCTGTCTAAACTTTTTTCTTTTTCCTTCTGGCTTATTCCAGCTCCATCTATGTTGCTGCAAATGGCCCGAGTTTATCTTTTTTGCTTGCTGAGTAACATTCCAGTGGTGTGTGTGTGTGTGTGTGTGTGTGTGTGTGTGTGTGTGTGTGTCCCTCTTGCTTGATTACTGGCATTTTGGCTTTTGTAGCTTAATTTTCTACTAACCTTGTGACATTTCACTGTTAACTCTTTAAATATCTCTATAACTTTCACTCTCTTTTCTTTGCACATTCCATACCCACTCCCCTCTAACTATTACGTATTATAAACTTATTAAAGTTTCATTTTCTGTTTGCTTATATAAAGAAAAATAATTTAATTTTGTATTGGTTTTGTTTTGTCAAACTTGCTAAAGATGTCTTTAATTCTAAAAATATACCTGTACTTTTTTATTTTCTCTGTAGATAATTTGTATGGCACTTTATTACCCTACACTCACCTTACTTTACTGTAGTGATTGTATAGGGCCATTATACGAAGGAAAGTAGAAAGAGTGATGAGGCATCTCTTTCCTCTCAGTCATAAAGGGAAAGTTTTTGATGTTTTAAATATAAATAGGTTTTCTCTCAATCAAGTGTGTTTTCTTCTCTCTACTTTTGCTAAGATTTTTACAATCTTAAATGGATGTTGAAATTAAGATATTTTCGTAACTTATTATGGTAATCTACTAGTGTTTGGAATTTAGTTTATTTTATTGATTTTTTAAACAAAGATTGATTTATTTATTCATACAGAACGGGGGCACAATCCCAAGTTTCAAGGGCGGTGAGAGGCTTCACCAGAGATAGAGCAGGGAGCAGAACAGGTAGATCGATGAAGTACACTGCTGAGGGGAGCAGCCTATGGGTCAGGAGAGGTCTGCAGCATGGTGTGGATCACCTCTGGGGCTGGGGATTAAACTGGCACTGAAGTGGCTGTGGCTAGCTTGCAATACTGTGTCCTAAAACGTTGTGCTGCCAGGGAGTGCCTTAGTTTATTAATTTTCTATATTAAATACATACTTCATTCCCAGCATGAACTCAGATTTCGCTTAGTGTCCTTTTTATGTACAATTCCCTGTACTACTTGAAGGAGATAAATATATTCAAACTTCTCACAAGAAAAAATGGCTTAAAGAGGCAGTTACCATAAACAAACAAATAGCTAGCTAAATGTCCTTTTTTACAGTGTTGACTCATATAAGAGGGATAGGATGTTCCCCTCAGGCACTGTCTCCTCACCAGTCCACCACCAAATGCCCTTAGGCATATGGGGTGTCCAAAGTGTTCCTTTCCCACTTGGCTCTCTCCTCTTCCATCCCTCTTTCCCTCTGGAAGACTCAGTTCTACAATTAAATGTCTAGGGTTTGTTATTTCTTTCATTTTATCTGATGCCTTATTTTGTTTCTCTATATTTCATATGTAAGTGACAGCATCCAGTATGTATCTTTTTCCTTCTGAACGATTTTGCTTGGCATGATCCCTTCCATGTCCATCATTGCTGTGGCCAAAACAAGAGATGACACTTTATACAGTGAGTTGTATTCCATTTGTATTTATACTGTATTTCCTAATCTGCTCCTCTGTTTTTGGATGCTTAGGTTGTTCATTGCCTGACTATAATAAATAGTGTTGTAATGAATGTAGGGAGTGCATATATACCTTCAAGTTAGAGTCCAGTTAGATACCAAGGACTGAAATTGCCAAGTTATCTGGTATCTTCACTTGCACTATTTTAAGAAACCTCCTTATTATGTATTCTTTAGGGCTAGACTAGACATTCCACGAACTGTGCCAGATGGCTGTTTTTCTCCACACTCCCATGTGTTTCTAGTCTTTTTTGATATAAGCCAGTCTCATAGGGCAGAGGTGGTATTTTATTGTGGTTTCAATTTGTATTTTGCTGACTATATGTGGTAATGAACATTTTTTTCTTAATTCCTATTGGACAGTCAAGCATTGAAGACACCTGTGTGTCTTCAGAGAAATACTTAGTAGCTCTACTATCCATTATTTGATTGGGTTATTTGTTTTCTTCTTCTTGAGTTGTAAGAGCTTTATGTAGATCTTTATTACCAGGCACTTGTCAAATGCGTGATGTGCAAACATTTTCCCTCATTCAGTAAGTGTCTCATCTTTTAGTTATAGTCTCTTTCCCAGTGCCTCCTCTCCTTCCCTGCCACTCTATCACAAATGACTGGCAATTGATTTTACCTGAATTTGTTTATATAAAAGATAAGTTATACTCTTTTCAGATTTGAAGAATGACTTGGAGGGGCTTGGAGTGTTCTGATTTATCCTTAAGACCACAGTCTGGAGCTGGACTATATGGGTTTAAATCCATTCTTTGCCCCTTTTGAGCTGTATGATCTAGGACAACTTAACTAATTTTGACAGTATTTTTAAAGTTTTTAATGAGCCCTAATTTTTTTTATCAACCTACTATTTCCACATTAGTGGCAATCATTAGATAAAAATAACTTCCTACAAATGAAGATCGCTAAAATGAATATTAACCCATTATGCCAAAGGGAATGGTTTGTTTTTAACATGCGTTTAAACAAGGATAGAATTATAGGAAACCATGTTATTATGGTGTTCAGACCTGCTTTCCTATAACATGAGAACCAATCAGGCCAGATTTTCCATTTGGATTTTCACAGGTTGGACTTCTTAGAGTTTATTCAAAATACTGGTACAATGCTTGACTGTCCAGCTTAAATTATCTAAATCAGTAGCAGCAGTGAAGTTATTAGACTGTTACACTATAGTGTAGACTAAATATTTGAAATCAAAGGACCTGATTTGTCCGTAATTGGAATATTTGAGAACATATCCCTCCAGACAAACTATTGGATCCCCTCAATATTCCATGTTCTTATATGTATATTTGGTAGTTTTATAGCACTATCATGATATTGTTGTAAAAAAATTAAATACTAATACTAAGTTATACTAATTTTGGAATCAGCAGGTCTGGATTCAAACATTGGCCCACAACTTTCTAGCTGCATGATTTCGGCAACATCCTCTCTTTGTGCATACGTGATTCATTTGTGAACTTATAAAATACTAGTTCATATTTTTTGAGGAATAAGTCAGTATATATATATAATATGCTTAAAATAAATCTTGGTATGTAGTAAATTCATATTATTATTTGGTAATAAAACGTGTTTGGCACCTATAGGTGTTCAAAAATAGTTATAAATATTACTGTCATTATCACTGATTTCAAGGTGGCTGCCATTGGTTTACAATGTCTAAAATTGATATATATTTTTTTTAAATATTTATTTGTACATACAGAACTGGGGTACAGGCCAGAGGCTCAGGGGCGGTGAGAGGCTTCACCAGAGACAGAGTGGGGAGCAGAACAGGCAGATCAACGAAGTACACTGCTGAGGGGAGCAGCGGGCGGGTCAGGAGAGGTCTGCCTCGCCATGTGGTCTCCTCCGCGGCAGGCGGGAATCGAACTCATGCGAAAGTGGCTTTAGCTTCTCAGTGCAGTGCTTTAACCCGCTGCGCCACCAGGGAGGGCCTAAAATTGATATTTTTAAGAATTGTAATTTTAATATAGCAGTAAGTTAAGCAGCATTTGGTATATGGTATGTGGTAATAATAACACAGGTTATCTGCAATGCTAGGAGTGGACCTTAATGATAGCCTCTAATAGTTGCCTTTCTCAGCGCTTCCTTCACATCTTTGTTCCTCAGACTGTAAATGAGGGGATTCAGCATGGGGATCACCACTGTGTAGAATACAGATATGACTTTGTTATGTTCAATTGAGTAGCTGGATTTGGGCAAGACATATATAAAGGTGATGGTCCCATAGTAGAGAGTGACTGCTGTGAGGTGGGAGGTGCAGGTGGAGAAGGCCTTGTGTCGACCTTCTGTGGAGCGCATCTTCAGGATGGTGGCAAGGATGAAGACGTAAGAGAGAGAGATGACAAACACAGTAAAAACAATGATGGATCCAGAAGAGATGGAAGGGATAATTTGAGTGATGGAGACATTAGAACAGGAAAGTTTCAGTAAAGGGGCAAAATCACAGAAAAAGTGGTCTATCTCATTTGGGCCACAGAAATACAGCTTCAATAAACAGCTACCAAATGTCCAAGAATTTACACACCCACCAATATAGGAAGTTCCCACTAAGAGGATGCAGACTCTGGGGGACATTTTGGTGGGGTACAGCAGGGGGGAGCAGATGGCCATGTAGCGATCATAGGCCATGGCAGCCAGCAGGAAGCACTCAGTTGTACCGAACAAAACCCCAAAACAGAATTGGGCTTCACAGCCAGTAGCAGGGAGGACTATTCCTTGTCTAAGGAATCCTATGAGCATTATGGGTGTGATAGATGTGGAAAAACCAAGATCTACAAAAGCCAAATGGCCGAGGAAGAGGTACATGGGTGTGTGGAGCTGGGAACAGGTTCTTATTAATGTGATTATGCTGATGTTGCCTACCAAAGTAACAGTATAGACTGCTAGAAATATCACAAATAAGATGACACAAAGCATAGGGTCCTTTGTTAACCCCAAGAGGATGAACTCTGTCACACTGGTGTGGTTTTCAACTTCCATCTCTGTGAGTTGCTCCTGTTGAAAGAAATATGAATATTCATTTGTTTTATGCGTTCACCTACACTTTCTGGTTTTCTTTGGTTATTCTTCAGAATTATTTATAGTAATTCCTTTTTCTATACAACCTGTAGAATATGTTCTGTATAGGATTTTTGTTTCTTTGCACAAAAGGAGACTGAATTAACCTGATACATGGAATTGCAGTTATATTCCCTTTTTTAAAATTTATTTTAAAACATTCTCCAACCTTTATCCTTAGTATGTCTTCTAGGAAGGTCTAGATATATAGCTTTAGCTACCTATTGGGAGCCTCCAGTTGGAAACAAATACCTCATCACACAATACCTCAATATCCAGAAATACTTCGATACCCAAAAACACATCAAATTCCACTTCCATATTAACAAGCTCATTCTTCTCTTTAACTACTCTCCTCATGAGTTCATTGCCGATTGTGGATATCTTAACCATCTTAAACATTAAAAATGATAAATGATTTAGTATTCCCATTGGTGGAGTAAATATTTGAATTAAATGTAATACCTAATAAATGATAGATCTAATGGCAACTCACTAAAGAACATGTTATATCTCTTCATTGATTGAACTTCATTAAATGCAATTAAGTTCCTCTAGTGAAAAGTAGCTTATTACTGTTGGCCTTAACTGTCATCATAAAATCCATTTTTAATCTTATAAATTGATTCTCATCAGTGTTATTGTGCAATGATTTCCTTTCTAGAAAGACACATGAAATATTTGACTCCTGCCAGCATGCTCCCCCAGTATCCATAATTAATTTAATTTAAGTATCCATAGTTAATTTAAGTATCCATAGTTAATTTTTTTAATTTAAGTATCCATAGTTAATTTGATCATTCTACTTGTAGTTTATTTTTCAGATTCCTTACCACTCTCTTTGTGAAACTCCAGACTTTGATCTGAGGAATAGGGCAAAACTGTCTAACATTTGAGCTCTTTTGTTCTGATATAAGTGGAATTCTGTTTTCATTAAGCCCAATTGTAAGTAAGCATTGCCTGTTCTTATAGGGTGTCATGGAGACTAGAGACAGAAAACGCTTTCTCTGGGACTCCCATTGGCAAATGACACTATCTGACTTTAACTTTTCTATTGTAAAGGAAGTATTTATCCTTATATGCAGCCTGTAGTGAGATCTTAAAACTGTTATTTTCAAATGCCCAAAATGTATACCATGGCTTGGAGATAAGGAATTATTTGTTATTAGCGAAAATGGAGTATTGGTAGGTTCATTGCATAAGTTTATATAATATATAATATATAAGTATTTATAATAGTGAAAGTAAATATATAATACTACATGTTATAAATATGATATAAATTGTTCTACAAAGCAGAAGAATTTCAACACAAATCTAAAATAAGAACAGTATTTTTGCATTTTTACTTCTGAACTTTGGTATTCATTATCATAATATACCAACTGATTTTTTTCTCCACCATTTTCTGTCCTCTAACCACCTGGATTCTCACCATGAGCTTGATTTTCATGTATCATTCATGATTACCCACCTGGGGGAGGAACTCTGGATCTCCAAACATTCTTCCTCTCAGTCATAAGGCATATTAGATGAGCAAAAAATATTTTGAACCTTTCCCAGTCTGATCCAGGTGGTTTCCTTCCTATTCCCTTTTCATACTTCAAATTGCAAAAGTTTATTGGTGGCTTTGGCTTGTCTTGACCAGCCCCTGTAAATCCTGGAAAGCCTGTTTCAGGTGCCCAGAGTGACCATTTTGCAGGCATGTTTTGTTCATGCCATTGAGATCAAGAGTCAAAGTGGTCAGTGTATATTAATTTCAATTACTCACTGAGAAAATAAATGTAAATTATTTAATCAGAATCCACGAAATTGCACTCACCATTGAGAGTTGGAATTGTTGATGTTGAATTCCAAAGTGATTTTTACTATAAAGCAGAACTTCTTTGTTAGTTTAATGGGTTTTGTGGACTGAGTTCTTTATAATGTGACCCACTGAATGCTCCCCTTGGCCAAGGTACATAGCTAAATGCATGCTTTCAGGTTGTATGTGGGTGTCTTTGTGTGTGGAGTGGAATGGCGGGACAGCTCTAGTAGAAAATGGCACATTCCCTAGGGCTGATATTGTTTGCCCTTTGAGGAAAAGTTTCTTGAGTTTGTTGTGCAGCAGTGACTTGTGGAACCAGGTGACTCATTAAGGCCAGGTTGTCTTCCCAAAGGGGAATCTACATTCCATGATGTCTTTTGGCATTCCTTTTCCCTTGTTTAATGAAAATGAAGGAGAGAGTTTAGTTTTCTAGAAACATCAACATTCAGAACAATTCTAACATGTGTTAATTGTGGTTGGCAGGATGATGTCAGACACTTTCTCATGAAAACAATACTTGGTCAAATTGAAAAAAGGAAGTAGATTTGAGGAGAAGAAATTTTACTTTAACTTAGAAATTGTATAGGAGTAGATAAATATTAATGGCATTTTTTATGACTTTTTCTGGAATTTAGTATATATGTAGACTAAAAAGCAGAGTGGGTGTATCACACTTGCACATTTCAAACTGTAAAGCTACAAAAATTGATAAAGCATAATACTGGAACAAAAACAGATACATAGACCATTAGAGTACAGTTGAGGACCCAGAAATTAACTTTTACATATATGAAAAGTTAAAAGAGCCAAGAATATACATTGGAATGAGGAAAGCCTTTTCCATAAGTGGTGTTGAGGAAACTGGACATACGCAGGCAAAAGATGAAACTAGACCCTCAATCTCACACCATACACAAAACTGAAAACTAAGTGGATAAAAGCTTTGAATGAAAGACGTAAACCATGAAATACAATAGAGGAAAACATCCATATAAATTCGAGACATAAGCTCAGTGATGCCTTTTGGATTTGGCCCCAACAGCCAGGAAAACAAATAACCACATAAATAACTGACTACATCAAACAAAAAAGCTACAATGCAGTGAATGAAACTATAACTAAAATGAAAATAAAGCCAACTGTATGGGAAAAAATAGTTACATACCATACATCTCACAGAGACTGATATCAGAAATCTACAAAGAGCTCACACACCTCAACAAAAGGAAAACAAATAATCCAATAATAAAAAAAAAAGGGTAAAGAGCTAATGAACATTTCTCCAAAGAAGACATACAAACGGTCAATAGAAATGGAAATAAAACCAAAATGAGATATCACCTCACACCTGTGAGAATGGTCTATATCAAAAAGCCCAGGTACAACAAATTCTAGCATCAGTGAATAGCAAAGGAACCCTGTTACACTGTTGGTGAGAATGTTGATTGGTCCAGCTCCTGTGGAAAGTTGTATGAAGGGTTCTCAAAAAATTAACAAACGACTTACCATTTAATCTAGAATTTCCACTCCTAGGGATCTACCCAAAGGACACTAACTGCATTCCTATGTTTATTGTGGCAATCTATACAATAGCTAACATGTGGAAACAACCTAAATATGTTAAAACAGATGAATGAATCAAAAGATGTGATGTATATACAAAATGGCTAACTACTCAGTGATCAAAAAAGATGAACTGTCACTGCACCTGCTGCAGAGCAGTCACGTAGACTTTGGCTCAAAGTTCAAGGAACAGGGCACGCAGAGTTACAACATGGTACTTGCCAATGTGTTGGTGCCTGGCTTCCTGTTTGCTGGATTCTGGTCTTAATAATACTGTTTATGCCCACACATTGCAAGAAACATCATAAAATCCAGAAAGAGTCACAAAATATTTTTATTATTTCACTACGGTGTACATGTATTTTGGGTTGAGTTGTCATTGATCATGTCGCCACATGGTGATTTTGTAACATTTCCTACAAGGAGAATAATAAGATAACTAAAAAAAAAAAGTAATAGTCTTTTTGGACAGTGGCTATTATCAGTACTCTCTAAACCCGAAAGAGTAAATTATCTTTCATTTGATCACTGGTTTATTCAGTGGAAGCACAGCTCCTCAAAACACCAAACAGCCTTCAACTCAATTGGGCTTTCTCTCACAGCGTCATATCAGTATAGCTTTGAAAGCCTGTGGAACCTACTCCAGCATAAAGAACTAGTGACTAATCTTGTGTATAAGCACCTTGTCAGGAAAAAGAACTTAAATGGAAGACCTAGGTACTAACAAATGGTTTATTTGCAAGGATCCTGATAGTGTCTTCCAGGGAAAAGCACAAAGAACTTTTGGAACAGAAAGTTGTCTGGAGATGGTCACAAGAATCAGTCTCACCAGGGATCTAATTCCACCTGTGTACACAGAACTGTCTCTTCACCTGAGGACATCAAGCACTAGGGAGAACTCAGTGGTGTAATATCAGTAAACAGAAACAAAGAAGTGTCCACTGTTATTCAAAACACAGTCTGTGCACCAATATTATCATGAATACCACTTATTATTTATTAGTGTTACATGATAATCCATGATGAACTACAGACAGAAGTTGAGGGTAAAAATTTATGCATTTTTACAGCAATCTCTTATGTTTTGACTAAAAATACTGGGTTTATTCTTTTGTATATTAGTTTTTCTCATTTAGTCTTTTAGTAATTCTAGTTTTATTAACTTTCTAAAATCTTTTTATTCATGAGGATTGGGATAAAATGATTTTTCACTTCTGTATTGGATGGAAGCAGGGGTACCTTTGGGACCCATTACATGCAGTTGGTATCTACAGTCAGGAAGTCCTGTGGGACTGAGACCTTAAACTTGTGAAGTCAGAACTACCTCAGTTCATTAATACTATATATAATTAAAATGGACACCCAGTTAAGGTCCAAATATTTATAAAATATTGGCTTTCCAATTAATTGCTATAGGAAAAAACATATTTCATGTCAGAAGCATAAATAAGATTCCTTTGCCCATTATGTAGTAATTGCCATGTTTTAATTTATTTTTGTTGTTTTTCAATCTTTGTTTTGTATTTTCCACTTATAATTTGCAATAACATTATACTCTGTATTTTAATTAACAACAATGTAAGTTTTCCCCTTTTGTTATCTTTCCCTTTAATCTCCCAGTCTTCATTTCTCTAATGTGTCAGCACTTGGGAGGGATTTTTATGATAAAGATCTTTTTTAAGATTTATTTATTTATACATACAAGAACTATGGAACAGGCTAGATGTGCAGGGGGTGGTGAGAGGACTCACTGAAGAGAGAGTGGGAAGTAGAACAGATATACTGAAATACACTGCTGAGGAGAGTGGTGGGCGGGTCAGGAGAGGTCTGCTGCACCATGTGGGTCAGCTCCCTGGCTGGGGATTGAATTCTTGCTGCAATGGCTGCAGATAGCTTCATGGTGCTGCACTTTAACCTGCTGCACCACCAGGGAGGGCCCAGCGAAGTTCTTTCTTTCAAAGGCTCTAAGTAAGTTGTTTTGTAATGCTTATTAGAGTTTTCCAAAATTCTCTCCTTCCCCTTTTGGATCCATGGTGATGATGTAAATGAGATTAGATTATTATCCAATTAGTAATTTCAGTACAAATTTGAGACAATTCCTAATTTTTTAGTAGATCTTAAAATCCAGATTATGGAACTATATTATGGTTAAGACATTAAATGTAGTATTTAGGACTTAAAGATACCAGTTCTTATTCCTCCCTAAAATGAAGATATATAGTAATATATAGTAAACAAGTGAGTAATCTGCCTACCAAAGTATGTGTTAGTATGTGTCTAGATATGCATAGACATAATATCAAATCATGTGATTATGGTTTCCAATCCTGACTTCATAAAAAGGGGAATCAGTTCAGTTTTACCACGATCATCCTTGTTTTAAATCATCACATCATAGACCTATCTTGGTTAAAATTTGCCCCAAAACATACATAGCATGTAAAGTCTAGTCTTTAGTGCATATTCAACCCTTTTTGATCAGGAACCTGTAGACTTATTTCTACTTAGTCTGAAAAAATGATCAAATCTCCCTGAGATTCTGTATTTTAATCTGTAAATTTAATCCAGTCCCACAACTTCCCATCTGCATCATTTTGAGTAATTTCTTAATGTCTCAGTGTTCCAAGTGATTGATCTGTAATATAGGAATAATTCTATGACTTTATAGAATACTTGTGAGAAGTAAACCATTTAACATGAAACGTCTTTAGTATAGCGCTTTAGTGTAGGATAACTTTCTAAAATGCTAAGTAAATTACTTTTAGATAGCTACAGTTCTAAGTAGTAAGTATTCAGCAAAGGAGGTGCAAATTAATATTTGGAAAATTAATAAAGAGTTTTTGGCACCTAGAGGTGTTCAAAATATGTGATAATTATTACCATCACTATCACTGAATCAAGGTATTTATCCATTGCTTGTCAGTGTCTAAAAGTGTGTATTTGAAGAACTATGATTTTAATATTCTCTAAGCAGTAAGTTAAGCAGCATTTGATAGACCCTAACTGCAATAGGAGGAAAGGATACTAAGAAGATCTTCTGACAGTTGCCTTTCTCAAAGCCTCCTTGACATCTTTGTTTCTCAGGCTGTAAATGAGGGGGTTCAACATAGGGATCAGCACTGTATAGAACACAGATATGACTTTGTTTTGGTGTGTTGTGTAGATAGATTTGGGCAAAACATATATGAAGGTGATGGTCCCATAGTAGAGCGTGACTGCTGTGAGGTGGGAGGTGCAGGTGGAGAAGGCCTTGTGTCGTCCTTCTGTGGAGCGCATCTTTAGGATGGTGGTGAGTATGAAGATGTAAGAGAGAGAAATGACAAACACGGTTACCACTATGATGGAACCAGCAGAGATGGAAGAGATAATTTGAATAATAGAGACATCGGAACAGGTGAGTTTCACTAAAGGGGCAAAATCACAGAAAAAGTGGTCTATCTCATTTGGACCACAGAAAGACAGACTCGCTGAGCAACCAGTAAATGTCCCACCATTCACACAACCACCAAAGTAAGAAGCTCCCACTAAGAAGATGCAGACTCTAGGGGACATCTTGGTGGGGTAGAGTAGTGGGCAACAGATGGCCATGTAGCGATCATAGGCCATGGCAGCCAGCAGGAAGCACTCAGTTGTACCAAATGAGACCACAGAGCACAGCTGGGCTACACAGCCAGTAACAGGGAGGGCCATTCCATATCTGAGGAATCCTGTAAGCATTATAGGTGTGACTGAAGAGGAAAACCCAAGATCTACAAAAGCCAAATGGCTGAGGAAGAGGTACATGGGTGTGTGGAGCTGGGAACAGGTTCTTATTAATGTGATTATGCTGATATTGCCTACCAAAGTAACAGTATAGACTGCTAGAAATATCACAAATAAGATGGCACAGGTTGCAGGGTCCTTTGTTAACCCCAAGAGGATGAATTCTGTCACGCTGGTGGTGTGGTTTCCAATCTCCATCTCTGTGAATGATGCCTGTAGAGGGAAATGTGAATATTTATTTATTCCATGCTTATGAAACGTTTTGCTGGTTTTCATTGCCTATTTCTCAGACTTACTTCTTCCACCCAGCCTGTAAGCATGTGCTCTACAGGACTTTTGTTTGTTTTCTTTTTGCAAAAATGCACTGATTGACCCTCACTGTGATTTTGGATAGTCTTTTCTTTATCTCTCAACTCTGACATCTAGATTGATCTCTCTCAAAATTTCAAATCAGTCTTCTCCATATCTGGTTATTTTCCTCTTCATTGTCTATATGTATGTGTACTTCCTAATCTTTCTTATTATAGACATCATTATGTTTGCTAAAGTGATTTTTTTTGCCAGATTAAAAAGTATAACATGTCAAATGGATTCTTTAAAGTTTTTTACTTCCTCTCACTACTTCATGGTGAAACCTAGCCTCTCTAGTTGCATACACTCTATACTTCTCACATATCTTATACCACATACATGTGATTCTTTGCTTGTCCCTGAAAATATTTTCATCTAACACTTGTACTTACCCAACCTTCTTGAACTATTTAGAGTCACCTCAATATTCTCTACCCTCTCTAATCTTCGATTTTCTCTGTCTCCCAATTGGCGTTCTCCCACCTCCCATTACCCAGTGAGACTTCTCCTCAAGTATTAAGATTCACTTCTATCCAAAACCTACTCTGAGTACTAAGTGTTAATGAAAAAGACCTGCCTTTGTTGAACATCATCTTTTGAAGATATCAGAATTGTCACTGTTTATTCTGGGTTATGATTCAATGATTTGCTCGCTTATGTTTCACTTTTCCTAACAAATTCATTTTCACAGTTACTCTGTATTTTATCTCCTATGACAGACAATTAATTCTTAGGAATGAAATAGGCTATAAAAACACATGTTGTGAGTGAATGTATGATTAGTGTAATGAATAGGCTGTGGAGAACCAGACTTCAAAGACCCAGGGCTTGTAAAAATAAGACAATGAAGACTGAAGTGTCAAATGAAGAAAGGCAAACACTAGGTGATTTTACTTCTCTGTGGTACATAATTAAACAAATGAATAATCCAAATAAAACAAAAAAAACTGTAAGCTGTAAAATCAAATTAGTGGTTACCTGAAGAGAAAGAAGAAGGAAGGGCATGGGAAATTCAGATCCAAGGTATCAAATGCTTGCACCTTCAGCAGAGAATATAATAGTATATACAAATTTATAATCATGCATGATGGAAGCCTACATGATTTTATATTGCAATGTTACCTTAGTATAAAAGGCTATAAATAAGTAAAGTAATATCTTGTTTTTTAACAAACATTGCGTAGCCATGTTGAAAAAAACTGGCATATTGAAAATAATTACTCATCTCAAAGGACTTTTTCCTTTGTATATATTTTAATATAGGTTTTAAAACTTTGTAACTAGTTAGAATATTTATTTTGCATGTTCATACAATTTTATCACATTATAATTCCTAAAAAACATATTTTTTGAGCTTGTTTAATTCATTCAGTGGTTAGACCTTAATTTTATTAACTCACACTAATTTTGGACATTTAACTGTTCATTATTTTTAAATACTAGAGCTATTCTACAAATTGAATAAAATCTGGAGACAATACAAGAAACAATGGTATATTTTTAAGATAATCCTATTCCTAGATATTTTTCTTAAAGCAATAATTCCAAAGAAGTGTGGCTTGTGTTCTAAAGTAACATTATCTCCATGATTGCAGCAATAAAGCCACCAACTGCTAGTTGTTTCTCGTTGTTTTGTTGAATTCCTACTTCTTCATGTTTTGCCATAGAGTTGGGTCAAACACAAAGTACCAGTGATCTGAGATAGTTCTAAGATAATAGAATCAATTACAAATAATAAAGGTGGACAAAGAAAAATCACCACAGCCCAATACAATGATTTCAGGGCATAAAAAGACTCCAATAAAGCTCTAATGATAAAATGGAACCGTGAAAATATTAATAATATACCTCATTCAAATGTTATAAAATCAAAAACATTAATCATATTTTAGTGACCTAAAATTTTTACTTATACACATTATTTATTTCACGATTTCAGCTCAGTAACAGTCCCTGAAGTAAAATCTATGAATTTACAAGTCTTTCTGAGGTGCATTTAAATTTTTAACCAAGTTGACAACTAAGGGAAGACACAAGTTTTTAACCTTGTCTATACCTCATAATTGATTCTGTATTCTAATTTGGGACATACGTAAATAGAATTTGTAGTCATACTGCTTTTTTCATTTTTAACTTAAAATTTCACTTAATATGATTAATAAATATATTTAATAAATATATTATGATGGAAGAAAATAGCTGAAACTCCTTAGCATTTTATTCACAGAACTTCATAAACTATCTATGGTTAACTTTTAATTACATCTACCTATATTTGCTTCCTTGCATTTTTCAATTTTTGTTTTTAAGAATAATGTTGGGGGAGAAAAGTAGGAAAAAAAATAGAATCAGCATGATGTTGATGTTGAGATTTTCTGCTCAGCGTTACTGATTCTAATTTTTATGGAAACACAATTTTCTGACATTTCAGTTCTTAAGATTTTAAATAACTACTCTTAAGTGATATATTGGCATATAGTACCTTCAAAATATTTAAAAGGCTTGAAAATAAAAAAAATCCATGAAGTATAAAATATGCCAACTGAGTCTTCCCTTTCCTTCCTCTCCACTGGGCACAAAGGGTTAACTCCTGAGCTCTTCTTTTTGGCATCTCACTCACGCTTGCCCACCTGGGGTAGGGACTTTGACTTACAAAATTTTCTTCAGTGCTTTCACTCACTTTAGATGATGAAAAGAGGACTGAGGACTGTGATTCTCATCCATATGATTACCAGGTGGCTCTGTCTTGATTTCCTCATAGTTTCAGTCCCTAAACTTACGGGTGGCTTTGACGTTTGCTGACCATCCACATCTCCCATGGAAATACTGTTTTGGGTGCCCAGAGTGACCATTTTGCAAGGTATCTCTTGTTCATGCCATTGAGATGAGGAATTAAAGTGGTCAGAGTGTCTGTTATTTTCAGTTCTCATTGAAGAAGTTAAATGCAAACTGTTTAATCAAAATCCATGAATGTTGTACTCACCGTTTAGACCCAGAATTGTTGATACTGAATTCCAAAGAGGTATTTATTATAAAACAAAATTTCTACTATAGTTTAATGGGGTGTTGTGGACTGAGTACTTCATAATATGACCCACTGAATGCTCCCCTTGGCCAAGGAACATAGCTAAACTCATGCTTTCAGGTTGTATGTGGGTGTCTTTGTGTGTGGAGTGGAATGGAGGGACAGCTCTAGTAGAAAATGGCACATTCCCTAGGGCTGATATTGTTTGCCCTTTGAGGAAAAGTTTCTTGAGTTTGTTGTGCAGCAATCACTTGTGGAGCCAGGTGACTCATTAAGGCCAGGTTGTCTTCCCAAAGGGGAATCTACATTCCATGATGTCCTTTGGCATTCCTTTCCCTTCTTCAATGAAAATGAAGGGGAGAGTTTGGTCTTTTAGCAATATCAGCATTCAGAACAATTAGACCATATATACTAATTGTGGTCAGCAGATGATGTCAGACACTTTCTCTTGAAAGCAATACTTGGTCAAATTGGAAAAGGGAAGTAGATTTGAGGAGAAGAAATTTTACTTTAACTTACAAATTGTATAGGAGTAGATAAACATTAATGGCATTTTTTATGACTTTTTCTGGAATTTAGTATATGCAGACTAAAAAAGTGGTGGTATCATATGTGCAGGTTTCACATTATACTCTAAAGCTACAATTAATACAATACTGGAACAAAAACAGATACATAGACCAATAGAATAGAGTTGAGAACTTAGAAATTAACTCACACAGATATGATTGGTTAATGCATGACAAGCCTCTTCAATACATGGTGTCAGGAAAAGTGGACATACAGAGGCAAAAAACCAACACTAGACCTCAATGTTACACCAGACACAAAAATCAACACTAGGTGGATAAAAGATTTGAATTCAAGACCTAGAACTAGAAAATACAATAGAAGAAAACATGCATAAGAAATCAAGACATAAGCTTCAGTGATGCCTTATCAGCTTTGCCCCCAACAGCTAGCATGACAAAAGAAAACATAAATAGTTGACCAGATCAAACTAAAAAGCTTCTACACAATGAATGAAACTACAACTAAATTAAAAAAACAAAACCAAAACCCAACTTACTGAATGAAGAAAAATAGATGCATACCATACATTTGACAGATGATGTCAATTATCTACAAAGAACTAATACAACTCAAGAGGCAAACAATCCAGTCAAAACATGGGCAAAAAGTTATTTAACATTGCTCTGAAGAAGACATATAGATGATCAGTAGGCAAACACACACAAATGTAATCACTTGTCATCAGAAAATGCAAATAAAACCACAATGAGTTATCACCTGACACCTGTGAGAATGCCCTATATCAGAAAGTCCAGAAACAACAAATGCTAGCATCAGTGAGGAGAAAAGGAACTCTTTTACACTGTTGGTAAGAATGTAGACTGGTTTAGCTCCTGGGAAAAAGAGTGTGGAGTATTCTCAAATGATTAAAAAAGAATCTTCCACATGATCTAGCAATCCACTCCTAGGATTCTACCCAAAGGAGACACAACCACTATGTTAGCAGTCTGAACAATTGCTAACATATAGACAACCTAAATGTGTCAAAACAGATGAATAGATTAAAAAATGTGATGTATATACACAATGGATAACTACTTAGTGACAAAAAAAGTATACATATGCTATGTGTGGCAACGTGGGTGGAACTGGAGGGAATATACTGAGATAAAAGCCAGAAGGATATTACTAAGTATCAAATAGTGTCACTACAATATCAGATAAAGGGAATCCGAATAAAGTGTCAGACAATGATCAACTCTAAAACCAGCTCTTGAAAACTGAGCATAGAACATAGGAGAATGGAAAT